TATCCTCAACATTAAAGAGTAGGCCGGTGGTTGGGGTATATGCTTGTGTGGCTTGGTAAGTAAATGATTTTGTAGTTATTTGTAAATGGTGTAATATTTCTATAAATCAATATAATATTGAAAGTCATAAAGACGGTTTTGTTTTGAGATGGTGAACCTGCCATTAGGTCATTCTTGACCGTCCTTTGTCATGTTTCTTGTGCATTCGAGCCTGAGCCTTTATCAAATATAATTTTTGTAAAGACGGTTGTTTTTATGGGCGCCTTCGGTCCTAGACGATCATGAACTGAAGATTTCAACGGTTGTTCGCCAAGCCTATCTCTCATAGGCCCTTTAGCCGACATAGTATTAATGAAGGGAGTAAACCCTTTGGTCGACCTCAAGGTCGGACTCAAATAAGTTTTTCCCTTCTTTAATTATGCAGCCAGTGCCTTTGGCTCAGTAGAGCCCATTTCGTTGGAAGCTGTTAGAGCCTCTTCCCCTGTAGAGTCCCTTCGTCTGAAGCCACTAGAGTCTTTGCCCTTGCAAAGTCTTCTTCATTTGAAGCCGCCAAGGCCTTTGCTCATGTGGGGTCCTCATCTTCTGGAGCTACAGTAGACACCAAAGCCTCTGCCACTATAGAATAATTTTCGTTTGAAGCCACCAAAATTTTTGCTCTTGTAGGGTCCTCTTCATCTGAAGCTGCCAAGGCTCTGCCCCCGCATAATCCCTTTTGCCTGAAGCCTCCAGGGGATTCTGCCTTCGTCTGGAGTTGCATTAGCCGCTAAAGTCTCCACCCTTGCAAAGTCCTTTTTATTTGAAGCTTCCATAGCCTTTTCCCCTGCAGGGTATTTCAAGCAGAAGGATTTGTTAGACTTTTCATCCTTATTCCATTTGTTGGATGTTGCATCCGTCCCTTTCTCTACCAAACCTTTGGCCAAAGCTTCTATTTTCTAGAAGCATTTTTCTTTTCTCTAACATTAAATTTTCTGCACACAAAATAGTACTAGACTTCTTTTTTAAACCCTTTTTCTTGAAAATGTCCTCCTAATACAACATTCAAGGACATCAACGTCTATTGGAGGCTTAGTCTCTTGTTGATTTGGGTCAGCGGTGCACTCTAGCTGCCTGCTGATAAAGGTTGGCGGTTGCATCTCTACGGCCTGCCCCGCCTTATCCCACGTCTGGACGGTCCTTATCCATTTAAGATTAGCCACATACGAACTTGAATATTCTCATGGCAGTGTCAGTGCATTCCACATAGATTGCTGACTTAATTGCCCTGACGAGATTGTGCAAAATGTTGAAAATTCACTTGCCTCTGGTAAAGGCCTAACTAGAGCTGATAAAAATAGGCACGACCCAAAAATTTGATCTAAACTTGACACAAAAAACATGTTTGGGCCTCGAACAACAGATCCAAAAATTATTGGGCCGTGTCTGACCTGTCCCAATTAATTAAAATTAATTTTTGAAATTATAATATTTTATATGTATATTATTCCCCCATCCTAGATAATTTAGGTGCATTACTGTAGATACGATAATTTATATAAAATATAATTACTAAGTAATTAAGAAGTGTATTAATACAAATAATTATTGTATAATAAAAATAATTATAAATTAAAATTAAAAAAATTATAAATATAAAATTTAAAATGTGATTAAAGTGTATAATCATATTTTTTTAAAAATGATAAATTATCTGGGATAAACAGAAATAAAAAATATATACAAATTATATTGGACGGAATGAGTAACTAATAAAATAATAATAATCAAAATCAAATGATGGTTTGATGGTGAAAGTCTTCACTTGTTTATGTTTGGTTATGTGTTTAATTTTCCACTTCTAACATTTGGATAATTTTTTTTTTTCTAAATTAATTTAAACCTAAAAAAGAAACAAAATAATTTTAATAAAACACAAGTCGAAAGGATCCGATCCTCCTCGGAATATGATGAGGCTCAGGTCACGGGTCATGAAGCCTCTTATTTGTGGCCAATGTTCAAAGCTTTTGGACTCATGTCCAGCAATATTTAATACTATTTTTTTAATAAAAATTATTATGTTAAATAATGATTTTTATACAAAGTATATAAAATTAAAATTACAAAGGGTGTGTTTGTTTAGTATTTTAAAATGAAGTGTGATGAATTGTATTGATAATATAAAAAATTATAATTTAAATGGTATGTTAATTTTTTACGAAAAAATATAATAAATATGATATCATATACTAAGAACCATGTCGACTTTAACCAAATAAAGTCATAATATTAAAATCTTCAACACGCTTTCCGATTAATATTATTATAAAATATAATTTATATAATACATAATTTTAACTGAACGTATTTTTTTATCATTTTTAGTTTTTCTACTTAAAAATACATAAATACCAAATCAAAATACCTTTTTCGTTCATGTAAATTGCAAATATACAATTAACGTACAATTAATGTATATACAATACACATGACAAAAATATCAAAATTATTTTATATACTAAATAAATATTATTTTTTAATTTATTATAAAAATAAAAAATTTATAATAAAGTGGGATGGACGGAGTATAAACTTACACTATATAATCATGTGCCATTGAAAGGTTGTCATTTTTTTTATTTTTATCCGTCCTAAAACAAAGGTATCATTTTATAATTTAGTAATTGTACTATCTACTTAACATAATAAATACTCTTCCAACTTACACTATATTACACAAATATCATTACTTTTAAGGGCGTTTGGTACATAGAATGAAATTATAGAGAAATGAGAATAGAATTGGAGAGAAAAAAATTGAGCAGAGAACGATAATTAATTCTCTTATTTGGTAAAATAGAAAGTTTAGTTGAGAAATGTAAAAAAATGAATGAATCGGACAATAATAAATGATTAACCTGACAAAAGAGAGTTTTAGTGAGTGAGCATTCATGAAAAAATATTTTTGGTGACTTTTTTTTAAAAAAAATTATAAATTATATACGATGTTTTGTAAGATTATATTTTAATATATATATTTTAAAAAAATCGTAAAAATTAAATACTTGAATAATAAATTAAATGTAATTTTTGTATAACTGAAATAATATAATATAAATAATTATAAAAATTAAATAGTACAAAAAAGATAAAAAATAAAAATAAAAAATATATATACTGCAATATCATTTCTCTCGATTTCTATTGATATGAGAGAGAAATGAAAACAAAAAATAGAAATGATTTATTTCTCAAGTTCCATTTATCTTATTCAAACAAAAAGAGAAATAGAAATATTTCCATTTTTGATAGACTTTCTATTACATCATACTAATAAAAGTATTTATGTCTGTTTCACTACAACCCAATATAATATTAATATTAAAAAATCGGTAACATTTCTATGGAATAGAGAGAGTATATTAATTTAACAAAAAAATATTTTTAAAAGTATTATAGATATATTTTTTCATAACTAAAATTTTCTCCATATATGAAATTTACTCATTTTTATTTTTCGTTTGTCCATTAAATTTACTTATTATTAAATTTGGCAAAATAGAAAATTAACATTTGAATATTACTTTTCGGCCAATTTTTATTTGCAACTATTAATTTTATTACATTATTAACTAAATTTTTAAAAATATTTTAACTAATTTTTTATATATTATATTTTAAATAAAATACTCTTTTTCTTAATGTCCAGATGACCAAAATATTCTAATTTTACATAATGTAAAAAGAAGTATAAAAGCACTTCAAAATAAAATACAAAACAAACATATTATTATTATTATTATTATTATTATTATTGATAAAATACATTTAAAATAAATAATGATTTAAAATATATTACCCAAGTGAAATGATACCTTTGGGTTGTGACACAGTATTTAAGGTAATGTAATTTAGTGAGTTAAAATAGGTAGTTTAGTGAACTATGATGGTTTATATTATAATTTTATTTATTTTTTTATATAGATAATATTGTTAATAATTTTATATATTATTTATATTTTAATAATATTTAATACTTTTATTTTATTTTAAAATCTAATAAATTTAAATATTTAGTAAAAAAAATTAACAATGAAAATTTTATATTGAATTAAAATTAAATTCATAATTTTAATAGTAGAAGTTTTATATTGTGTTTTATATTTTCTGTGTAATAAGTTATAATCATTTAACTTATAATCTTAACATAACGTATTATTTCAAATTTGATAATAAAAATACAATATCAGTCATAACTATGAAATCATTTCAGTGATAATTATACACAACATAATAAATCATTCCATATTTGATAATAAAAACATAATATCAACAATAATAGAACTAGAAAAAATCATTTTAGCCATAATTTTAACATAATAAGCCATTTCAAATTTGATAATAACAAAACTATACAACATCAATTGTAGCAAAAAGATACTGCATGGTAGAGTATAACAAATCACAGATACAACATCAACCAGTCAATCGAAGTAAGCAAAAAGCAATATGGATATGAAATTCCGCCAAATACTCCCCAAAATTTGCTCTCTCCTAATAGTTTTTCTCCAAAATTACATATGCTATAAACTACACTAAGGAGACCATAAAAAGTTGCACTGCCATTCACAAAAAAAATACAAAGATTAGTCAAGATGCAGTAATGTAATGCCCCGATTTCGGAATGTATAAAATAATATTATTATAGCAAATAAATATTTTTATAATATTTTGGAATCAAGAAATTAATATTGTGGAATAAATTTTATTCCTATTTTATATATTGATTATGATTAAAAAGACTGTTAAACGGATAATATCAATGAGGATAAATATAAAATATAATATATAATTTAATAATATAATATAATAAATAAATAAAGAAGATAAAGATGTTAATGTTAATAATAATATAATATAATATAATATAATATAATAATAATAATATAATATATATGTGTATATATATTATACATATATATATATAAAAACAAACAAACCTTACCTCGAAACGAAGGAACGCAGAAGACGAAACGCGAAGGAGAAGAAGAAAGGAGAAGAAAAAAAAAAAAAAGAAAGAAAAAGATTTAGCCGTCCGATTCCAATTCCGACTTGGGTATGGTATTCCTTGCTATTCGTAGAGTCCGATTATAAATTTTAATACGAATTTTGATATTGGAGTATTAAATTAGAAATTCTTCAAAAATTCAAAATTGGCTATTTAGCTATTTAATCGATGAATTTCTTTAGCTAATAGCCTATTCGTAGCGCCGACATTATATTTTGAGAATTTCGTACCAATCCAAGTCGAATAAAAAACGGCAGTATATCGCACCTGCCTGCTTGTTCATACCTTTGCGTATTTTTATTTAATAATCGGGCAATATAAATATTATGAGGTAGAAGGATTTTATAGCTAGAATATCATATTCTACTAAATATAAAAGTTTGGAGCCCGACGAGTTAAGTATAGAAATTAGCTTTTGAATAAGCAGGTAGCTCCTGAGAATAAGCATAAAGCTCATCTGATTTGAGTAAATAATGGGACAGGTGTACGTTGGAGGAGATTTGGGTGAAGTTATAAAATCCAGAAAGTATCGGTAGGAGGTAAGCAGTAGGGAATTAAATCTAATTTTAAGAAATTAGGTATTTATGTTGCATGTGATTCTGATTCTGATATTGATATGATATTATGTGGAATCATTTGGTCAGTGCATCTATATATGTATATATGTGTGTGTATATGCATGTGTGAAACTTCGTTTTACGATATTTGATATACGTATTTGATCGTGTTGGTGAATTTATGAAAAGGAGGATAGGTGGGCCGTCTCACCAGCCCTTTTCATTAAATTCACTTATTGACATGCTGCACACATTGCACGATTTATCGGATATGTTTTATGGATCTATCGTTTAGTCGCCGTGTGCGGTAGTGCTAGGCGAGGGCATCATCTGGGGTTAGGATATTCGACCCCGATGTACCGTAACACTTTGGCGATAGTGGACGATAGTAGTCGGACAACTGGGTGACTTAGTCGCACGGTCATTCAGGGATTAGACCCATTGCAGTTGAGACGTATTTGGTCTAATCATTCGAGTTCGGTGTTGTTCCACTCATTGGAGTAGCTACTAGTGAGGTCTACCGGTAGTTTAGGATCATATGCCAAACTCCAAACGCGATCCCGTTAGGGCGTGCGAGGAGGAGTAGAGTTTCCGGGTTTCCTTCGGGTGATTCCAGGTTGCACGGATTCTACTACGTTACACGGGGTAGGGCTAGACAGGAGGGTCCTATCTACGCTATCACAGACTATGGGGTGTCTTGTGGTTAATGGCGACAACGTTCGACTATCCATGTATTGATTGCGGGAGTCGTATGGTGGGTATATGGAAGTGACCGGGTGACCGTTATATTATTATGGGTTTACCAGGTCCTTCCTTGAGCCGAGGATTTTCCGGCTATTTATTGATGATAGTCTAGTGAGCCGTTATTATGGAGCCGAGGTTATTCCGGCTGCTCACTTTGACATATGTATATGGGTATATGTGCATGAGTTGTCGATTTTGACATTATTGTTACATTATTTCAGTATGGGCATGGCATGACATTTATTTTGCAAATGACGGAAATTAAACTCTATTTTCGAGCATGACATGGCATATTTTATGTTAGTTCTTAAAATGGATTTAATTCTAGACTGCTTTTAAGAAAAATATTTGATTCAGGTACGCATGGCACCTCCGGGACAGGGGACGTCTCGGGAGATAGAAAGACGGGCTGAATGAGTGAACTGCATCTGATGTATTATATGTAAATTCTAACTAGAAAAACCTCCCGTTTTGGGAGTATGTTTTTGTAAATATTTATAAACTTGTTTTTTGGAAATAATAAAATGCTTATATAATTAATTTTAGCCTTAACACTGTGTTGTGGGGCCCGAAGTAGGAGGTGACGACCTCATGATGCAGTGTGGCGGTAGCATTTCCAGTATGAGCCAACTGGGGGTGTTACAAGTAAAGTAGAGAATTGATAAAATTTTCCAGAGTGTCTTTGAAAAAGGTAAATTTGCTTATTTTATTTCACAATTAATTATCTATTTAAAAAATATATATTTATTTATTTTTATCTTATCTTAAACTGTAGCTTGCCCGTGATCATTTCAGTATAAGCTTTTCCTTGACATCCGGCCTACAATGACAGGGAAGAAAAATCGCAGTGATAGTGAACGTAACACAATAGTTCAATTTTTACTTACGAATCTTAAGAATGACAAACCTACTTTTAGAAAAATGGTGGAGGCACAATTTTTTTCTTTTTTTTTTTCATGTTATAAGTATACTGTCAGTCGGTATTGGAGGGATGCCAAAAAATAATTGGATAATGGCGAAGTAATTTACTCAAGCAGTAAAAAGAAAAATGTTTTTAAGCCAAAGAAAGTGCTTCCAAATTATAAGCTGATTGCTAGTATTCCCTTAAAAAAAGAAGTTCTATTCAAAGTATGACTGCATCAATCAATTGTTCTAAAAATACTATTTACAGGTGGATTTCAAATGGAGCCTTAAGAGCACACACAAGTGCTCTTAAACCAGATCTCACAACACCAAACAAGTTAGGCTGCAATTTGCACTTGAACAAATTGTTTACTCTTCAATTGAAGAAGCTATTCAATTTAAATGCATTGATAATGTCATACACACAGATGAAAAGTGATTTTATATTACTAAAGGTCACATAGATTCTATATGACTCCGGAAGAGGAAGATCTATACAGAATATGTCAAAACAAGACATTTATTACCAAGATTATGTTCATATGCTCAGTCTCAAGACCGCTATATAGGGCGGATGGTTCGCTGATTTTTGATAAAAAAATTGGTATCTTCTCATTTACTTACAAGGAAGCTGCAAAAAGAAGTAGTAAAAATCGGGCAGCAGACACCCTAATCACCAAGCCTATTCAATCAATTACAAAGGATGTTACTAAGGTTTGCTTAATTGACAAAGTAAGTATACTACTGTTTGAATTTATAAAACGTTATATTGCACTAGTGTTCATTCAAACTAACACAATCCAACTTATTCTATTTTACTATATACATTCGCTAACTTTGAAAGATTGAATGTGTCCATTATTTACTTTTCAATATTTTGACAGATTATCCCCAGCCATAAAGGAGAAATGGCCAACCAACGTGACGAAAATAATCTATATTCAGCAAGATAACGCTAGACCACACATAAAAAATGATGATGCCGATTTAAGAAAAGCTGCCACAAGTGATGGATTTGACATTATTTTAGTGCAACAACCTCCCAACTCTCCAGATTTGAATATCAACGACCTTGGATGGTTTAGCGCTATACAAAATATTCAAATTGAAAAGGATTGCACTAACATGGATGAACTAGTGAATGCAATGGTGTTATCTTAAAGGTTATGCATGGGATGCTCTTGATTTATCTGTGCCCCTCACTTTCCTTATTTTTATTTTTAATTTCTATACTGCTTTTAACACTAATATCTCATTCTGTATATGTTTCTATAGACAATTGGGTTTATGGGTCCTGACTTGGCTACTATTGGTTTAAATTATTATTTTTTTTAACACTTTCTTGAAAGCATTTAGTCATTGTGGCTTCCTGGTAAATCTTCTGGTTGATAAATTATTAATTCTTTTCTCTCTTTTAGCAAAATTGTTGGCACTCTAAAGCCTAACTACTAACATATTTTCAACGTTCTTATGGTCCCAAGAGATCGCACCGCAATATTCCGGTGTACTACATGGTAAATTCTTAGTTTCATCTATAACATTGCTGCATATTAAAAATTGAAAGACTCTGTGTAATTGCAATATGTCAGCATTCTTCTTGTTTTTAATCGGTTATTTTCTTTATATATATATTGCATAGTAACATATCCTTATATTCATCTAATGCAACGAAAGATGTCTAACATATAACAAAGAACTCATGATTAACAAAAATTAGACATAAATTTTCATAAGAGCAGAAAATCTCATACAAACAGTATATTATGAATAAAATTTTACGTGAGAAGTAGAGTTCATATAACTTAAAATCAACTAAAAGAGCATCAAATTGCAAAAATTAAAAATAAATTTAGGCATAATTTCTCTAAACATAAAAAAATTAGCATAAATTAGTAAAAATTATTATTAGTCTCACAGAGTGAAATTTGACGGGAAGTAGAGCAATTGAAACACGTCCACGATTTTTAAATGTCGTTTGAACACCAATGACGATTATGGGCAAAATGAAGATCAGAATCCACCCAAGCTTTGATAACCTAATAAATCAGTGGGGGTATCAATCACATAGCCAGAGAAGCTCACCTGGTCATCACTAAGCAGTGTCACCACCGATTCATTAGAGAAAACCGATTCATTAGAGAAATGAGTTTCAGGAACAAACTCACTATATTCAACCGTCGAAACCATCGATGGAAAAGACAATCCAGTTGTCTCAGAATCGAAGTCGATTACTCCTCCCTTCGACTACAGCTTTTGTTAGGAAGGAAGAAGAATTGCGAAGTCGACTAGGGCTTTTGTTGGGGAGAAAAAAGAATAGCAAAACTGTTACAATTTTTATAATTTAATTATTTGTTTTAATCATGAGTTTGGATGAGTTTGTTTATTTATATATTAAAAATAAAATATTTTATATTAATAATAGAATAAAATAATTAATTTTAATGATTATTGTTATTATATTTTGATTTAAAACTTTACTAAAAATAAAAAGTGATCATTTAACGTAAAAAAAAAAAAAAAAAAACACGGAAAAGAAGGGAGTATTTCATATAAATAAGTTAAAGGAAATAATTTCAAATACAAATTTTAATAATAAAATATAAAAAAAACTTAAAGCGAAATCTTGACCGTGTAAATAAATCGAACGGCGCATGATCCCCCACGGCCCTCTCGATTCCCAAACAAGCAACCCTACTGGACGACAAGTCAATCAGCAACTGTTAAAACGGTGTCGTTTCACGAACAGCCAATCGCAGTCAGTGACTGAGAGGGAAGGGCTCTATGTTTAGAGCATTTTCAAGAGCTTTGCTCGGCGCCCACCGTCTCCTCCATTTCAACCCCAGCTCCAGCGCCACCTTCCGCGTTTCCCTCTCCACCATGTCTATTCCAGCAGCAGCCAAGCGAGTGGGCACCCACAATGGAAGCTTCCACTGTGATGAAGCACTCGGCTGCTTCATGATTCGCCTGACCAAAAAGTTCGCCGACGCTCATATTGTTCGAACCCGTGACCCCCAGGTTGTGTGGTGGTGATGCTGATATTCTCTTCTCAACATAGAGGGAATTGTGGATCTTTGTGCTGTTATGTTTTGATGTTCGCAAGTGCAGATAGGGTGTATGATGAAATGCTTCTTGAAATGTATCAGGTACTGGAAACGCTTGACGCTGTGCTTGATGTGGGTGGAGTTTATGATCCCGCCAAAGACCGCTACGATCATCATCAAAAGGGTTTTGAAGAAGTCTTTGGACATGGTTTCGGTACTAAGCTCAGTAGTGCTGGTCTTGTTTATAAGGTAAAGTTTAATGAAGAGTGCTAACCTTCAATTATGTCATCTAGTTCGAAAGAGAATTTGTTTTTGGTGTCGTAGTTTCTTTTCTGATAAAAGGATGAACTTTAACTACTAGTTTCCGTTTAGATTGAGTGAGATTACTCTTTATTAGTTTTAAATTATTTAAATAAATAATTGAAGGCTAAATTTGTGAGACTAGAGCTTTATTTTTTGTGATAGAAGGTATCTTGGTGAGTTTTTTTATTTTATTTTTTTGTTGGGTAGCATTTTGGGAAGGAGATTATAGCTAAGGAGCTTCAAGTTGATGAGGACCATCCAGATGTGCATAGATTGTTCCTTGCAGTCTATAAGAGCTTCATGGAGGTATTTGATTTTACTTTTTAAAGGTTTTTATTGATAATGTGGTGTCTTATAATTGTCTGACAATTTTACTTGTTCTTTTTGCATGTTATTACCTTTTTGTGAAGTTGTATACTGTAGTATTTGTGATCATAAAAGACACAAATATGTCAAGGCTGCAAGCTCTGAGCTTCGTAATGGGCATATCCCGTTGGCTTTAATGTTCTACTGAGGGAGGGTGTTTTTGTGAGTGTAATGTCTGCTATGGTACCTTTGTGTGTTCACAGAACGAGGTAGCAATCTGGGGCAGTTTAGGAATAAAAGAGAGTATACACCTTTGCGAGGATGCTTTATGAGAATGTCAGCAGTATTTAGAAATTCAAGGTTCTATGCTGTTTTTTGAAATTATAATATGCACTAAATTAATATGTTTGATTCTAGTTCTAGAAATGTTGTAGAATCAGAAGTCAAGTGCAGTTAAGTTTGACTGGAAAAACAAAACGCGATTTTAGTTTTCTATAAGACGTAGGAATTTTTATTTTGAAAATTTAGGAAATCAAATAATGATTAAACGTTTAGTCTATTTTCAAAATCGAAGTATGGTGATTAAAAAATAGATGAGATGATATGATTATCCACGTTACAATAATTATGTACCGAATCGAATTGCGGACTCGGATCGGGCGTTGGATTGACTCGGTGAGCTCACGGTCGGATAGAGAAGTTAAAAAAACTCTATCTATACCAAACAAATAAGGCATATCTTAGAAGTGATTTCCATATCTAAAAATTGATATCACATCTAATGAGATATGATTTTGTAGGCTTCTTTAGGGTAGTTAACCCTAATGGGCTTAGGAGTTCGGGCCCAATTGTGATTAACCCTAAACCTAGTCTATAAATACCATTTGTTGTACATGTAAAGTGTGTCGTCTCATATTGCAGAAATAAAAAAGTTCTTGGTTGTCCTTGTGGACGTAGGTCGATAACTCTTATCGGCCGAACCACGTAATTCTTTATTTTATGTTTTCTTGTTTGCGTGTGCATGTAATTTAATGCTAAAAGTGGTATCAGAGCGATGTTATTCACACGAGTTACACTTGTTCAAGAATAGCAAAGAACATAATAGACTATGTCAGACAGCCGAACACACTTGTGTCAGAGCAGAGAGAATTAGAACAGCATCAGACCTCGTCAGCGTCAGATTGCGTCAGACCTTTCAGCATCAAAACACGTCAGATCCGTCAGCAGCATCGCGCAATTTACTTGGCAGCCCTGATCGCCGACAACACGCTGATGATCTGATCCGACGTATACCGCAAATTGCTGAATTCATATTTGTATGATTAAATCATGTATGAGGACGGAAAGACCAAGATTGATAAGTTTGATGAAAAAGATTTCGGTTGGTGGAAGGTGCAAATCGAGGATTTGCTTTGCCAGAATATCTAGATTTGCCTTTGACCGGAAGGAAACCCGAGAAGATGCGCGACGATGAATGGACAATCCTTAACAAGAAAGCCCCGTCTGCTATTAGATCTATGCCAACCCAAAAGCGTTGGACTCAACATTCTGAAGGAGACTACTGCATATGGGTTGTGAAGATGTTGACAAACATATATGAGAAGCCGTTTGCTTCCAACAAGGTATTTCTGATAAAACGGTGAATACAAGAATGAAAGAAGGCGCCTCTATTACTTTGCATATAAATGAATTCAATACTATAATATCCCAATTGTTGTTAGTGGATATTAAGTTTGACGATGAAGTTTAGGCTTTGCTCTTGTTATCCTCATTATGTGAAAGTTGGTCAGGAACTGTCATAGCCGTTAGTAGTTTTGCTGGAAATTCTAAACTTACCTTTGAAGGCATTCGTGACTTAAATCATAGGAAAGGATATACATGGACGAAATTCTGGTGAAACTTCAAGCGTGTTGTTGAGCACTGAAAGAAGAGGCAGGAAGAAAGAAATGGGAGGAAGATCAAATTTTAGAAAAGGAAGTCAATCAAAGCCAAGGAAGGACATTCAATGCTGGAATTGCAGAGAGTATGGGCACTTTAAAAATTAGTTCTTAAAACTGCCAGAGCAAAAGGAGGTGAATGCCACTACAGACAGCTCAGACGATGCACTCATTTGCTGTGTTGAGAATTCAATTGAGTCGTGAATTATGGATTTTGGTGCTTCATTACATGGTACTTTTAGCACGAAGACAATGAAGAATCTACGGACATGGAACTTTGGTAAAGTTCGTTTGACCAATAACGACTCTCTTGACATCACAGGGATGGGTGACATAGATCTAAAGACTTATTGGGACACCGTCTGGACGTTGAAAGATGTTAGGGTAATCCCTAGTTTTAAGAAAATGCTTCTCTCCACTGGGCAGCTGTATGATCAGAGGGACATAACGTCACGTTTGAAAGAGGGCAATGGAGAGTCGTTATAGGCAATCTCGTAATGCCAGAGGCAAGAAGATGGGTACTCTATACATGACCGATATCTCTAAAAAATAAACGAATGCATTAACCAGCAAGCAAAGTCCGTCTGTTTGTGGCACCAATGACTTGGCCAAATGAGCATAAAAGGAATGAAGATGCTTGTCGCAAAAGGAAAACTTCCAGATCTAAAGAGGGTGGATTCCGAGTTTTGTGAGCCCTGTGTGCTTGGCAAGAAGAAGAAAGTCTCTTTTGCAAAGACGGCGCAGACACTGAGAGCTCAGAAGTTGGAATTGGTTCACTTTGATGTCTATGGACCAACACTAGTCTTTTCCTTTGGCGGATCAAACGACTGTGTAACGTTCATCGATGATTCAACACGAAAGGTATGGGCCTATTTTTTTAGAAACAAGTTTGAAGTTTTCAATACTTTTAAGAAATGGAAGTCTCCAGTTGAATTAGAAACTAACCTGAAGGTGAAGTGCTTGAAATCGGATAATGGAGGTGAATATATCAGCAAAGAGTTTACTGAGTATTGTGCTAAACACGGGATCCGGATGATCAAAACTGTCTCGAGCACTCCTCAGTAGAACGGAATGGCAGAAAAGATGAACATAACATTGAATGAGAGGGCTAGAAGTACGAGACTTCTTAGATTTTGAATAGAACAATAGAAGGAAAAAGAAAAATAATTCTTTAAAAAGCAGTGTTCTTACGTACAAGGATATGAAGACCTTATATACAAAAAGGAACTTGATAAAAATAGAAACAAACTATCCTCTATATCTTATCCCATGAATTATAGGATCATCCTATATCTTATCCCATGGGTCATGAGATCTTCAGCTGTATAAAGGAAACAAGATATTTGTTTTCTAAAATAATTGATTCACATATTTTTCCACACTCCTCCTCAAGCTGGTGAATAGACATTTTCCGTTCCCAGTTTGGATGCAATAGTTTGAAACATTGAGCTATTCAATTCTTTTGTTAAAATATATGCTAGTTGACCGGTTGTTATGTAAGGCGTGCAAATCAAACCGCTGTCCAGCTTCTCTTTGAAAAAATGTCTGTCAACTTCAATATGTTTTGTCCGGTAATGTTGCACCGGATTGTGAGCTATGCTGATTGCTAACTTGTTGTCGCAGTAAAGTCTCATAGGCCATTCCCACTTAATTTTCAAGTCTTCAAGAATAATTTTTAACCAAAGTAGCTCACAAACACCTTGAGTCATTGCCCTAAACTCTGCTTCTGCACTTGATCGAGCTACCCCATTTTGTTTCTTGGTCCTCCATGTCATAAGATTTCCCCCAAGAAAAGTGCAATATCCAGATGTTGACATTCTATCAACTATAGACCCAACATAGTCTGCATCAGTGTATGCTTCAAGTATCAAACTTCCATTTTTTTTTTTGAAGAAAATACCTTTTCCTGGTGTAGCACTCTATTGGCTGCTTGCAAATGAACATCTTTTGGTTGTGCATAAATTGACCGATCACACTTACTGCAAATGCTATATCTGGTCGTGTGTGGGAGAGATAAATAAGATTCGGGTCTACTGCAGCATCATCAATCGCTGGTACATCTCCCGGTCTACTGCAGCATCATCATCTGCTGTTGCAAGTCTGAGATTCGGGTCCATTGGGGTAGCCACTGGTTTGCATGCTGTCTTCCCTGTTTCATTAAGGTCTAAACATACTTTTGCTGGGAGATAAAAATCCCTTGCTTTGAATGAGCAACCTCAATTCCAAGGAAATACTTCAGCTTTCCCAATGTTTTGATCTCAAATTCTTTTGCCAAACACTGTCTCAATGCTTTCCTCTCTTCATCATCATTCCCTGTTATCACTATGGCATCAACATACACAAGTAGGGCTGTGACTCCCCATGAAGGAGAATGTTTTGTGAACAATGTGTGATCACCTTGGCTCTGTTTATTCCTCATAGCCAATATAACCCTTGCAAATCTTCCAAACCATGCCCGAGGAGATTGCTTAAGTCCATATAGAGCCTTTTTCAATTTACACACGGTGTGAGCATCCAAGTTCTTATCATAACCCGGTGAAACCTCCATATAAATCTTACTCTAGATCCCTATGTAAGAATGCATTTTTAACGTCAAACTGTTGCAGGTCCCATCCATAGTTGGCAGTGTATTCATTTTTGCAACAGGAGCAAAAATCTCTAGATAATCAATCCCATAAGTCTGTGTATATCCTTTTGCCACCAATTGCGTCTTATATCGTTCAATTGTCCCATCCGCCTTGTTTTTGACTGTATACACCCATCTACAACCCACAACCTTTTCCCACTAGGCAACCTTACCAATTCCCAAGTTTTGTTCTTTTTCAATGCTTCCATTTCTATGTCGATAGCTTGTTTCCATTTCACATTAGATATAGTTTGAGACACACTAGTAGGGATAATGATGGTGTTTAGGTTAGCAAGAAAGGTTCTTTGAGGTGGTGAAAATTTCTTAAAAGATAGGTATTGAGCTAGAGGATACAAAGGCCTATTTCTACATTCTCTGTGTTTCTTTCTAACAGCAATGGGTAAATTCAATTCATCATCGACAATTGGTTCATTTTG